CCGCAAGAAACACCACCACCACGACAAGAAGCACCACTCGCGCTACTACCGTCGCCGCCTCGAAGATAAGGACGCCAAGGCTACCGATTATAAGGACGCCAAGGCTACCGATTATAAGGACACCAAGGCTACCGAGTCTTCGGACTACAGCTACGGCAAAGGCGATTATGGTCACGGGCACGACCACCAGGGCTATGGCCATGATGACTATGGTCACGATGACTGTGGCAGCGATAGCTACGGCCACGATGATTATAAGCACAACGACTACAAGCACAACGGCTACGGATACGTTAGCGGCGACGACTACAAGGGCTATGGTAGCGGCTACAGCCACAGCTATAAGAACTATGGAGGCGACTCCGACGACTACTACGGTCACGGCAACGACTACTACGGTTACGGCAACGACTACTACCCTGATTACTACTCGTCATATGGTGGTGGCAACGGCTACGGCTACTACCCCGACTACTATTCGTCGTACAATGGTGGGTATGGCAATGGAAATGGATACTACCCGGACTACTACTCTTCCTACGGCTACCCCAGTTACGGCGGCTACGGCTACTCCAACTACGGGTACCCGGGCTACTTGGGTTATGAGTCGGCCACAGCGAGTGTCGTTGCTACTGGTGGTGAGAAAGAGTCTGCGACTGCGAATGGTCAGAAGGAGTCTGCGACTGTGTCTACTGACGCTGCTGACGTCAAGTCGGTCAAGAAGGAGAGCAAGACGGAGTCGAAGGCGTCGAAGGAGGTCAAGTCGAAACGCCACCGACAAGTCGAACGACAAGTAAAATCAAGCTGAAACCGTGTGAGAAAAGTAGTATATGGGTGAAAGACGTTGTAAGCCCGCGTTGAACTGTGTAGCGTAGAAAACTAAAGTGGCAGGTGTAAGGAATACAAAGCCAATGGATGTGATCGCTTTACCATGTTAAAGTGACATGTGTCCCCGAAATTATCAGTTGCTTAAGTCGTTTGCGATGTGGATCAATGCTCCGATTGCAGCAGCGGTAGAGTAGAAGCTTACGATATAGAGTAGAAACCAAGAATTACAGCACGCGGACGTGCAATCACTGTCAATCTGCGTGAGTTTGCAAAACAAACCTTGTGCCATCAACAAGAAGACTCATCAGTGCATTCATTCCTCTCCTTATGCAGTGCTCCGCTAGTGGAGTCGTGTACAGCAGTGGTGTAGGGAGCCTATCGACAAGTTGCCCTTGTTTGAGTATCCGTCGTAGTAGTAGTAGTGGCAGTAGCAGTATCCGTAGTAGTAGAAGTAGTAGTAGTGGCAGTAACAGTAGCCGTAGTAGTAGTAGTAGAAGTGGCAGTAGTAGTAGTCGTCGTAGTAGTACTACTAGTAGTAGTAGTAGTACTAGTGGAAGTTACTGAAGGAATTGAAACTGTTTTGAAGTAGTAGTCCAAAAATTGCTGACAAAGTAAACAAGTGGCCGCTGTTGCTGTTTTTGTTGTTGCAATAATAGTACCTCGAAGTATTAGATTGTGTAAGTATTCGTGTGATCTTGCATTCTCAAAATACGTCTAATATACTTTCTCCTAGACCGTGATGTCTGCATAACTACAGTTTGCAGTCTATCACTTGACTCGACTCATTCTCTCAACGCTTCTCTCTCATCGTCTTCTCGATCGAAAGACAATGCCACGACGAGGGGTGACCACGATGGCTGATGCAACATCAACGCCCAGACCGCAGCTCGATCGGACTAGCCTCCTCGCCTTCTCACTTGTCATCTCGCTTCCTCCCTGACACTCGACAACCAACCTCCAGCTCCATCAACTAGTTTTGGCAACTGCCCAACAAGATGCACTCCAAATTTGTCGCCCATAGTGGGCCTGTGTGTCGCTGCTTCTATTCTGCATGCGACTGACGCTGCTAATAGAATGCCCCCACGTCGTCAACTCGGGTCTTACAAGGACTACGGCCACAGCCAGCACAAGCACGACCACGACCGCAAGAAACACCACCACCACGACAAGAAGGACCACCCGCACTACTACCGTCGTCGCCTGGACGGTAAGGACACCAAGGCTACCGATTATAAGGACACCAAGGCTACCGAGTCTTCGGACTACAGCTACGGCAAAGGCGATTATTATGGTCACGGGCACGACCACCAGGGCTATGGCCATGATGACTATGGTCACGATGACTGTGGCAGCGATAGCTACGGCCACGATGATTATAAGCAAAGTGACTACAAGCACAACGGCTACGGATACGTTAGCGGCGACGACTACAAGGGCTATGGTAGCGGCTACAGCAACAGCTATAAGAACTATGGAGGCGACTCCGACGACTACTACGGTCACGGCAACGACTACTACCCTGATTACTACTCGTCATATGGTGGAGGCAACGGCTACGGCTACTACCCCGACTACTACTCGTCGTACAATGGTGGGTATGGAAATGGAAATGGATACTACCCGGACTACTACTCTTCCTACGGCTACCCAAGTTACGGCGGTTACGGCAACTCCAACTACGGGTACCCGGGCTACTTTGGTTATGAGTCGACCGCAGCGAGTGTCGTTGCTACTGGTGGTGAGAAAGAGTCTGCGACTGCGAATGGTCAGAAGGAGTCTGCGACTGTGTCTACGGACGCTGCCGACGTCAAGTCGGTCAAGAAGGAGAGCAAGACGGAGTCAAAGGCGTCGAAGGAGGCCAAGTCGGACGCCACCGACAAGTCGAAGGACAAGTAAAATCAAGCTGAAACCGTGTGAGAAAAGTAGTATATGGGTGAAAGACGTTGTAAGCCCGCGTTGAACTGTGTAGCGTAGAAAACTAAAGTGGCAGGTGTAAGGAATACAAAGCCAATGGATGTGATCGCTTTACCATGTTAAAGTGACATGTGTCCCCGAATTATCAGTTGCTTAAGTCGTTTGCGATGTGGATCAATGCTCCGATTGCAGCAGCGGTAGAGTAGAAGCTTACGATATAGAGTAGAAACCAAGAATTACAGCACGCGGACGTGCAATCACTGTCAATCTGCGTGAGTTTGCAAAGCAAACCTTGTGCCATCAACAAGAAGACTCATCAGTGCATTCATTCCTCTCCTTATGCAGTGCTCCGCTAGTGGAGTCGTGTACAGCAGTGGTGTAGGGAGCCTATCGACAAGTTGCCCTTGTTTGAGTATCCGTAGTAGTAGTAGTAGTGCCAGTAGCAGTATCCGTAGTAGTAGTAGTAGTAGTAGTAGTGGCAGAAGCCGTAGTAGTAGTAGTGGCAGTAGCCGTAGTAGTAGGAGTGGCTGTAGCCGTTGTAGTAGTAGTATTAGTAATAGTACTACTACTAGTAGTAGTAGTAGTAGTAGTGGAAGTCACTGAAGGAATTGAAGTAGTAGTAGTCCAAAAATTGGTGACAAAGTAATACAAGTGGCCGCTGTTGCTTTTTCTTGCTGCAATAATAGTACCTCGAAGTATTAGATTGTGTAAGTATTCGTGTGATCTTGCATTCTCAAAATACGTCTAATATACTTCTCCTAGACCGTGATGTCTGCATAACTACAGTTTGCAGTCTATCACTTGACTCGACTCATTCTCTCAACGCTTCTCTCTCATCGTCTTCTCGATCGAAAGACAATGCCACGACGAGGGGTGACCACGATGGCTGATGCAACATCAACGCCCAGACCGCAGCTCGATCGGACTAGCCTCCTCGCCTTCTCACTTGTCATCTCGCTTCCTCCCTGACACTCGACAACCAACCTCCAGCTCCATCAACTAGTTTTGCAGCTGCCCAACAAGATGCACTCCAAATTTCTCGCCATAGTGGGCCTGTGTGTCGCTGCTTCTATTCTGCATGCGACTGACGCTGCTAATAGAATGCCCCCACGTCGTCAACTCGGGTCTTACAAGGATTACGGCCACAGTCAGCACAAGCACGACCACGACCACAAGAAACACTACCACCACGACAAGAAGGACCACTCGCGCTACTACCGTCGCCGCCTCGAAGATAAGGACGCCAAGTCTACCGAATAATGTGAGTTGAAGTCCCTACGATACATGCTACGGTACAAGTCCCGATCCTGCTCTCAATCATACGCACCTGTGCTTCACTGCGGCTTCGCGACTGCAGCGGGACCGAGTACAAACATACTGATGTTTGTATGCATCGAGACATGGTTGGC